CCTGTGTATTATAGTATGTTAGCAGCATCCTTGGCATCAGTAGATGCCACTAGCACCACCCTCCTAGGTGTAACGATGGTCTTCAAACATTATCAAACATGTGCACAGGCACCCGTGGTTGAAAAGCACAGGCCTAAATTATCCAGAAATAGGTTTCTTAGAGGTAAAGTAAAATTGAGTATTTATCTGTTATCTGATCTTCTTGATCAGATGAATGCTAAACTGAAAAACAGTTTGTTTATTTTGATGCCTTACTGATTACCTCTCTGTTCACTTCATCCCATTCTACATTTGTTTTAGATCCCATTTGATTGCCCCAAACAGGGACTTCCTTATTCCATTCCTCTGGTTCTGACAGGCCTGTTCATTTGCTGCTTGATATCTTTTTGGCTATATAGATATTTAGTGATCTGTCTGATGTTTTATACCCCGTGAGGTCTGGATAATTTCTCAGTCCTTTGGGGGGCAGCTGTTGAGCTGCTAAAGTTTCCATTCCTCTCTTGTAGGTTATCATCTTTTGCAATTTAAGATCTAAGCTGAGCCCACATAGCAACTTGGAGAGGTTGGAGTCTCTGGGTGGTTTGGTCAGTATGTGGACACAGTTCAGGAAGCAGAACTGTTGGCTTTGAGATTATAAATGTGATTGTTAAAAGGAATCCTGTAATCACAAATTCTTCCTTACATATGTGCAGTGACTGCGAGACAGTAAACAGTTTGTTTTGGAAAGGATTTTACTATCTGTTTGAAGTAAGAAGTGACTCTAGTGTACAAAACATTTAAACAAAATTGTTATGTCTTATAATACTCAACAAAGCACTCTGCAAACATCAGTCCTGGAAAGAAAAAAAAAAGGCATCCTTCAAGGCAGGGTTATAGGCACTTCTGGGAGTTGTAAACCCATGCAGGCTCCAGAAATATGTGCCTTCCAAGGGCTGGAAAATTCTGAATTAACAACAAATAATCAGCGAGTGTGACAAAGAGTTAAAGTACACAGACTTTACTTTCACAAAGTTTATGATGTAGTAAAGAGGTTTAAGATGCAGACCTGAGATTGCAAACTGATGGCCAGCAGGCTAAATCGGGACCATGGATTTGTTTTGCTTGGCATGTACAGGGTTGGCCTCCTGAGTGTCTAGGAAAGAGAGTGAAAAAGAGAGAAAGAATGAAAGGAGTTGTTAAACATAAAAAACATTAAAATCCAGATTTCCAGCTGTTTTTGAAAAAGTCAGAACATCTGCCAACACTGGGTCCTGATTCCTGCAACTCCCCGTGGTGACAGTTGACTGGCGTGAACCGCAGCTGCCCCTTTGGATCAGAGCAGGCGCCCTCGGGCTCCCCAGCGGGGCCCACCGCTGCCCACCTTGCGTGTCAGGTGAGATGACCCTGGCTCAGGCGGCGGAGGTGGCAGTAAGCATGGTGACAAAAGGTCAGATTGGGGATATATTTGGAAGGCAGAGTTAGTAGGGTTTTGTGATGGATTGGATTAAGATACGAGAGGGTTAAAAATGACTCCAATTTTTTTAAAACTTAGATTATTTTTAAAAGAAGCCTATAGTGGAATTTTGGAAAATTGGTATTGAACTTTAAAAGTAAAAACAATTATTTAAAAGTTTTTCTTCATTAGTAATCTCCAAATGGGGTCCCCATAGGTGGTAGACTCTCATATTCTGGGATGTGCTGACAGTGTTGGGGAATTGGAGGGGAAGAGTGTTGAGAAGGGTCCCAGGCGCTGATAGACTGGTCGCAGGAGGTGAGATGCGATGCCAGCCGCGGTGGCCGCGGCCGTGGCCCCCCGCCAGGGGCGGGTCCCCGCAGGACCTCCCGCCGCCCCAGGAGGTGGGGGGTTGTGTCTTGAGGTGCTGGGGTGAGCTCCCGATGGATACTTGGGGGAGCTCGAAGGCGGGCGCTCGTGGGCTGCCAGGTGCCCGCAAGGGGGGCGTGGGCGCGGCTCCGGGACCGCGGACAGCAGGGCGCTCGGCGGCGCCCGTGAGAAGCCGCAAGAAGCTCGGAGCTCCTTCTGAAGCGCCGCTCTCCACAGAGGCTGCTCATCCCTGAGATTTATACGAGTTAATAAAAGTAGCAGAGTTGCATCCGATGATGTCTTTATTTGCACTTTATATTTCACTGGGGAAATCTCCAATTGTCCATGTCGAGGACAATTACTTTATTTTATTATAAAGTGGGTTAATTTGGTCAGTGGAGACGGACAGTGGCCATGGTGGGGGTGGGAGCTAGCCGGCTCGCACTTCTTTTTCTAATCCTCACCAGAGGACACGTTTGTATGTTTACTGATTAGAGAGAGAAGGGCGGGGGGA